AGTAGCCATTTTGCAGATTCCAGAGGATGGGAGCTGGGGCTGGACCCAAACCTCTGCGGAGCCAATCCGGATCAGTAGCCCCGCGGCTGATCTCCGATTTGGCAGCAACCTAGAGGGACCGGAAGATGGGAGGCTGGGTGTGCCAAACTCCATTAGCTAGGGCTGGGCCTCCAGGACAGGGGGTTTGGAGCCAGCTGCAGAGCTTCTCCCTTCCCCACGCCTCTCCGTAAGCAGCTGTAAGTGTGGTTAAATAGCCACTAGCTCCCCGGTGTGTAGCCTGCGTCTCAGGCTACTTTCCCGACCTGCGGCCGAGGTGTCAGCGGACATATTTTGTCCACAAAATACCACCTCTTCTCCAAATCACATGTGGCCGGTTTTAAGTCGATGACAACACAATCAAGTCCACCTAAATCAGTTGCTGCTCAAGATGAGATGCGGTCGGGTAGCACCTGCCGGGGTTGCGGGCTGGATCCCCCCCAGTTGGGGGCGTGCAGGAGGCAGCCAATCAAAGATTCTCTTGCATCATGGGTGTTTCTATCTCTGGCTTCCTCTCTGAAACCAATAAACATATTTTAAAAATATAAATACATAAAATACCCATGTTGTAAAAAAAAGATGAGATGCAGAATCTCAGTCGGGCCCAAGGAATGTAGGACGGATCTAGCAGCCCCGGAGTCCTCGTTCCAGGCTTCCTCCGCCCCCACTCAGTTGTCGCCAAAGCCCGGAGCGCGGGATTTCCCCGAGGAACAGGACGGCGAACGGGAGCGGCGGCGCGGCCGGGAGCGGCGCACGGGGCATGCTCAGTGGCGCGGCCGGCTGGGTGGCCCAGCAGCTGGACCCGGATCTGCTCGGCGCTCGGCGCGGCGGCGACGTGAGCGCGCAGGGGGGCGGCGGCCTCGCCTCGTCTCTTTCTCTGCGCCTGGGTCGGGTGGGTGACGCGGAGCGCGAGAGAGATGTCGGATTTCGACAGTAACCCGTTTGCCGACCCGGACCTCAACAACCCCTTCAAGGTGAGCGTCGCCCCCAGCCTCTCCCGCCGCCGCAAGGTGTCCTTGTTTGCGGAAACCGAC